TATTTATAATAAAGTTACAATAAATTAAGTTGTTATATCAGGTCAGTCCATAAGTTCTTGTGTATTTTATGATCTTGAGAAAAATTTTGTTTTGATGTTAAAAATGCCAGTCTAATGTGATACTTTTTACACTGAAGTGTTAAATTGGATCTCATTCATATAATACTGTTCAGAATTGGGAACATTTCAGTTGTTTATTTTCATTAAAATGGAAGTAACAGATGAATATAAGAGACATGTTTTATACTTTTTATTTTTAAGTGATGANAAAGCTTCAACTGGGAAATTTTACCTCATCCACCATATTTGCCAGATATTGCTCCCAGTGATTATCATCTTTTTCGGAGTTTGCAGAATTTTTTAAAAGGAAAAACTTTTGAGGATGAGAACAATGTAAAAAAGGCTATTTCTGAATATTTTGATTCAAAACCGAAATCATTTTACAAAGATGGGATTAAAAAGCTATCATCAAGATGGCAAGAAATTGTACAAAATAATGGTGAATACATTATAGATTGAAATAAGATTTAATTAAAATTTTTTGTTGCTTTTTTTGTAGATAAAAATGCGCACGAACTTATGGCCTGACCTGATATAATTATATATACAGTACCTAATTTATATATAATTATATGTACAGTACCTTATTTATATATAATTTATATATAATACTGTACAGATGATAGCAAACTCAATTTAGCAGCTCCGTAGCGTGGCGCAGGGCGGAGAAAAGTAGTTCGGCTGCTCATCCACTATTGGTCCAGATTCTATCAATCTTGTTGCAAAACGAGTCGGTGACAACATTTTAGGAGCTCCTTTATACGAATGTTGCTACAATTTTTTCGCTACGTTATAGGAATTTCCGTTATAGGGGGGTCGACTGTAATTAAATTTTTCTCAAGTTTCAAGAATGAAAAACTCATTTCAAAAGTATTTTGTAAATTCAGTTTAATATTTGAATTCATGAAACATTTTTTAAATGTCTCTCTTCAACGTTAATCCAGTATACAATAAATTAATCTGATTACACTAGGAATCCAATAATCATTGGAGATTTTTTCCAAACAAGTGTTTTATATCAATACAAACTGGATAATTCTTATTATACATTCATTCTAATGTATAAATGATATTGTTATTAAATCAGTTGTAATTAATGAAGCAATAAGAATATACATTTTAAACCTTTCAAATGCACTTTCTTATTGCTGAATTATACTGTAATGAATATTTAAACATCAAACCTTACAAATTAAAAATAAACAAAATAATTTTTTTCAGTTTGAGCTAATACAAATCTAAAATAATGAGTTAAATGGAATCCATTATGTTCCTTTTTCAATAATTAATAATTTCAGAAAACAAATTTTACAGTTTATGAATGATCGTTTCAGTTAATGATTTTTAAATAGATTCTATAGTTATTGTACTATATCTTATCTAAATTATGTAATGTATTTGCTTTGTTCATAAATGTAATTTGCATTAGTCTTGAAATTTTCCTGAACATTTTATCAATTTGTTTTGGAAACATATGCTTCTAATTGGAAGATTTTTTAATTGAATCAAATTTTAGAATATTAAACTGCACATCCTGTATAAAGAAATTTATGTGTAACAGAAATATATAACTAAAAAATAAATTATGTAAAATTTGCAAAAATAATTGCACTTTTCCATGGCATTTGAGCAGTCAGCTTCCTGATAAGATGTAAAATTTACTGGATATGTAACGTGACTGTTCATCTGAAATAAAATAAAGATATACTTGCATGTTTTTATGGAACATTTGTCTGATGAGCAAAATTACTTACAATTATTCTTGTGCTGTTTCCAAATATACATGTTGAAAGATGAGGACTGTATCTTATCGTCTCTTCCATTATATCAATGTAATTTACTCTCCAAGGATATGTTGCTAGATAGTGAAGAAAAGTTTGATTTTCTTTTGTTAAGGGAGATTCTAAAATCTCTGATTCCCTAAAATATTCAAATTATAAGATAAATTTTATATAATTTAAATGAGATTCTACAATTACTAGTATTAAATTAAGGTGCTAAGTTTAATATTTATTTGCATTTTATTATATAAAATAAAATATAACTTGTAGAATAACATTAATGTTATATTTTCAGTATTTTTAATGTAATATAATATAATTTATTAAAATGTTTTGTCAAGAACCAACTCTGATGTAGCCGTGTTTTATTCATCATCATATAATTTCATTGCAATAACCTGTGATCTTCAAGTTATTGAAATGAAATTAATTGCAAGCTAACAGGGTACACATTATTAGTCAACAAAAATAAAATTACCATTTTTATTTGATTCTGAAATAATTTGTAAAGCTTTTCTGTTAACTTAAATATGAAGTAAACAGAGTTAAATAATAGAATTACATAACAGTTTAAGGCAGATCTCATGTTTAATATGTTTGAGATGAAATTGGCTGAATGCAAAGTTGTTTGACTAGTTTCGCTTTACATATTCCCACCATTAAAGCATAGCCTGAGGGTAAAAATAATTTCATATCTGGGTACTGTACATAGGAAGAAATTTTCAGAGTTTAAAGAGTTAAACTATCAGATGGTCCTCAACTTTCAAACATTTGTCTCTTGGACAACTTGTTCTTTCATATATAATACTTTAATGTCCCAAATCATTTTTTTATACAAAAATTTCACTTACGTTCCATTGGTTTTGGTAACAGCAAAATTAATTTTTATTGCCTTTTTTTATCTAATTATGATTTTAATGTTTTATTCATTGTAACATATTCACTATAAAATAAAAAAACAATAAAACTATTCTATTTTAAGCATTTTACAATTTTTCTTTTTTAATGACTCATGGAGGTACAGTATTTTGTTATTCTAATACTTTTTTCTTGTCAATATCTTTTTACTTAATTCTGTTCATATAAAATAATGCTATAAAAAGAATTTTATTAAAAAGCCACAAAATTTATATGATTATTTCAGTATCTCACTAAAATTTATTCAAAACTCAATAGTTTAACACAATAAATATCAAAGTATAGGAAAAACAAGTATTTTAGTTGGTATAAACATTTACAAATAACACATTTGATTGAAAGCATGAAACATTTAGCCATAGAATATAATAAAACAACTGGAACTAGTTATAGAAGTTATTTTTGCTGATCATTTTTAAAGAATTATTTTTGTATGATTTGTAAATGTTTTAATTATTTATAAGTCAAGTATTTAAACTACAGAATGTATTTTAGATACTTGACTTAGTTTGTGTTGCAGACCTTGGTGTTTCATTATCTAATTTACTATTGTTACTTAGTCATTAGTGTTTTTCATTTTATTTCCCATTCTTCTAGACTGTTTGAATGTTTTCTAGGCTCTAATTTTATATTTGTTTTAGTAAATTGATAAACTAAGGCATTTTATACTGGAAATAAAATGATAATACTCCAAATTTAGAAATTAGTTAAAATTCTGAAACAATTTACAAACATTAAAAATATTGAAAGTGCTCTAAAGAATTTAATACTTACGGCCAATTTTTCTCAACACCAGCTAATCCAACAACTAGATTACATGATGGTGCACTTATTGCAAAAGATCTGGCTATCTTTGGATAATAGAGAATGAATGCCAGACACATCTCATCTTTAGTTCCTAATCCTCCCTTAGAAAAATAATTCAGATTAAGAGAAAATATTAATTAAATAAAAGAGAATTTCAAATATTACATACAAATGTTGTTATGTTTCTTCCTATTGAGTTATAAGTACATTCAGCAACAAGATGATCAGTCTAGAATAAAAGTTGATTAAAGCATAATTAATGTTAACAATAATCTGAATGTAATGTGTTAACAATAATCTGAAGTATTTAAATATTAAATTCATCAAAATATATTAATTATTCATAAAAAGGGTGATGTAAATTTTAATACTTACAGCAAGAACAGTGACTTCTTTTTGTAAGTAATGGTATTCCTAATGTTAAAATATCATTAAGTAGTAATATAAAAATCACTTAAAATGTTTTAAAAAATTAATTAATTACCTGAAAATAATAATCATAATTTTTTTCACTGACTATGGGTTGCAGTTCTTTGTTTCCTCTAAAGTGGCGAA